TAGTTTGCCTAAGTGACCTTTTCTGACAAAAAAATCATCGGCTTCATCAAAATTGTAACTTAGAGATCATTTTGCCGAGATAATCCATAGAGGATGGAAGCCCTAAAATTGATGTTTACCCTTTTGCTTGAGGGCCTGTAGGCCGGTATGGTTGATGGGACGAGTTTCAACTATTTTTCCGAATTGAATGTCTTAATTTAGATACTATTTGGTTTTGTCAAACTGAAGTTTATGAAACGAGTTTCATTGTGACTGGGGAAGTGGATCGGTAAAAATCTAGAGCAAGTAGAGGAAGACCGTCAGTAAATTATCGGTAATCTCTGAGAAAATGTTATGAAGCTTATAATTTAATTTACCCGAAGAAGTATACCAAGTAGTATAACTGTATCTTGTTGCTCTGGAAGGATCCATAAGCTCAAAGCCTGGTAGAGCGCTCAAGTGTAAATTCATTTGAGAGGATGGTGGTTCGAGTCCACCTGGATCCAAATCTTTTGTTTATTTGTTCCAGTGTGCATGAATGTTGTAGACAAGGCATGTGTGAGGGCATTAAGATTAATATATATTTCTTGTGTAGTTTCAAAATTGGCTGATGGTGATTTGAAAAAAAAAAAGGGCTAACGGTTTTGGTAGCTCAACGTTCTTTATTGTCTTTTACTGTATGTTTTTCAATAATGTGTTTCTGGTAAATTATCTTGTCTTCTCGCTCAAATAAAATAAACAGAAGAAAAAATAACCTGGTTTTTTTTCCCTAGAGCATAGCAAAAAAAAAAAAAAAATTTAAGATGGATATTTTTTCTAGAGCATAGCAAAAATAAATTTTAAACTAAACTATTTGAAATTTCCTTAATTAGATCATTAAGCTTTTTGTTTTCTTTTTATTTTCAACTTTTTGATTTGTTAGAATAGTCATTTAACTTGTGACAACTTAAGTTTTCTATGCCGTCCAACAGATAAAAGTTTAACCTTTAATCATTCAACAAATGAAAAAAAGAATTTGAGGTATTATCACTTTACCCCTTAACATAATTAACATATGGTGTCATTATCAATTTTTTTTAATGTTACTTTTTAATCAATTTATCTTTAATATTAACAGTCAAATTAATTTCATTTTTAGTCATTTTATTTTTAATACTAACGGTCAAATTAATTACATTGTCAATTTTTTAATGTGATTTTTTAATCACTTTAACTCTAACACTAATGATCAAATTTTTATTATTCTACCTCATATATTATAGCCTTATTATCAATTTGTCCCTAGAATTATATTTTAAACTATTGATCCCACTATTAAACCAACTTAATAAGTCAAAAAAATTTAAAAAAAAATATCTTTCTTTTTGTATAACAAAAAGAATAAAAAAATTTGAAGTGGCTCTTTTCTTTATTATAAAAAAAAAAGTCAGAACATTAATCTCTTTCTTCTTAATAATTTTATTAATATTAAAAACAAATATAAAAGTAGAGAGAGGAGAGAGAAAACTTAATCCTTTTTTTTTTTTCTAAAATACAAATAGAAAAGAATTCGATATCTTTTTGTCACAAATGCGACTACTAAAGCAAACAATAAACTACGTAACTCTCAAATGTGGATGGACTCAATTCTATCTTAATTGAATCCTTGTGCTCGTCGTGGCATGCCATGTCCTATTTGTTGGTGTCTTCTGGAATATTAACCTACCACTTGGTTTCCAAAGTGTTTTGGGTGTGTTTGGATCCCTTGTTTTTGGGACTGTTTTTGAAAAATTGTTTTTCACATTCCAAATGCTACAGTAAATGTGTATTTCTAAAACAACTCCAAAAACACCATATCCAAACATTATATCAAAAACAACTACATATGTATATTTCAATTTCTATATTTCAATTATGTATATTATATATATATATTATATTATAGTAATATAAATTGAAATATACAAATTGAAAATTATATATATTATATATTATATAAATATTTATATAAATTAATATTATACATAATATTGTATATTATACATATATAATATACATAATATGTAATATTGTATACATAAATGTGTAAATATTTATACATAATATATTATGTACATTATATTATTATTGTATAATATTATTATGTACATTATTGTGTATAATAATGTTATGTATAATATATAATATACATAATATGTAATAATGTAATAATGTATATTATTATAATATATTATATCATGTATATTATATTATATATATATATATACAACATTATGTATATTATACAAATTGAAAATTATATATTATATATTATATGAATATTTATATAATGAAATATACAATAAATATTACAAATTGAAATATTATATAAACACCATATTTATAATATTATAATATTTATAGTTAATATTAATGTATATTATTTATATTAAATATTTATATATTTATTTATACATATTATAAATATATTTATATATTTATATATTTATATGAATATTATATATTATATAAATTATATATAATATAACATATATTATATATTATATATATTATACGTTTATATAAATGTACATTTATACATAATATATATATTAATGTATATTTATAATATACATTTATATTATGTATTATATATAATATAATAAATTATAATATATTTATACATTTATATTAATATACATAATATTAATTTTATATTTATACATAATATTAATACATTTGTACATTTATATTAATTATATTAATACATTTATACTTACTATTAATATATATTAATAAAATTATAATTTATACATTTATATAATATTCATTTGTAATTTATACATTTATAATAATATATACTTATACATTTATAAATATATTTATATTACCTAATATATATAATATAATACATTTATATATTTTTATATAAATACAAAAATATATTTATTTATAAATATTTATAAGTGTATTATAAATGCATAAATGTATATTTATATAAAAATATATAAATTATAATTTATATTTTATATTTTATACATTTATATAATATTCATTTATAATTTATACATTTACAATAATATACACTTATACATTTATAAATATATTTATATTATGTATTATATATAATATAATAAATTTATAATACATTTATATATTTTATATAAATATGTAAATATATTTATTTATAAATATTTATAAATGTATTATAAATGCATAAATGTATATTTATATAAAAATATAAAAATTATAAATTATAAATTGTAATTTATACATTTATATAATATTCATTTATAATTTATACATTTATAATAATATACACTTATATATTTACAAATATATTTATATTATGTATTATATATAATCTAATACATTTATAATACATTTATATTTTTTAGCGAATATATAAATATATTTATTTGTAAATTTTTATAAATGTATTATAAAAGCATAAATGTATATAAAAATAAAAATTATAAATTATAAATTATAAAAATACCCAAAAATATGTTTTAAAAATACCTCTAAAAATAATCCAAAAAAATCTCCAGTAAAAGTTTTTCATATAGTTTTTGAAAAACAACTCCAAAAACAACTAATCCAAACAGACTTGTATTTCAAAAACAAAATGCTACGGTGCTGTTTTTGAAAAACAACCCCAAAAACAGTTAATCCAAACGGAGCTTTTGTCTTTTACTGCTATTGATTGAGTTTCGCTATTCATTTCCCTTTTTTATGTTTTGGCAAGTCTTTGGGGTTTCTTGACCATTTAGCAGTAGTAGTATTTCGGTGTATTCTTTCTAGAAGGACCCTGTACTGATAAAACGGAGAAAAGAAAAAGTGGGTGCCAATTAGTCAAGAACAGGCGCCGATAGCACATTAATAAGGGTCTTTCTTTTTTGAGTGTGGACCAATTGACGTTTCCAAGCACAGCGTTGACTAATTCAAGATGGGTACAAATTTTTGTGCTCATTCGGACCGAACTTGCTCTAGGGGTAATAGTGAACCATAAAAATTTTCTCGAATTTATCGATTCTCTTTTTTTCTTTTTTTCGTCCTCTTTCCAATGGCATTTGTCAATTTTTTATGTATAATGCCCCTGAAAAATCGTAGAGATCACATTTTCAATTCATTTACCTAAAAATTGTGTTTCAAATGACTATATGCTTTCTGGATGGCCGCAAACATTTTTTAGGCACACTACCAATAAAATCAGCTTACTCGGTATTTTTAAAAAAAATCTAAAAAATTTAAGAAATGACTAGATATTTTTTCTCTTTAAGATTAGGATTCATTTTCTATATACTAATAGTGTTATTATTAATTGCACGATAATTAATTTAAATTTAAATTTAAAATCTAAATTTTACATATGTACGATGCATCTGACTGTAATTGTGTAAATATCGTATATAATATTAACTAAATAATATTTTACTTGCATTATAAATATATTTCAAAATATTTTATATTTTTAACTTCCTTTTTATCTCATATAAATCACATAATATCACAAAATATACTACAATATCTTTCCAAATAATTTTTTCAAACAATCTCTAACCCAAACACACCCAAAAGGATTAACCTAGCTAATTTGCTACACTACATAAGAAAAAGAAAAACATAGAATAGAACCCACCAGAAAAAATGAACAATGCCAGCTTTTTTTTGCAAATATTCCAAGGAATTTGCTCAGGTTTTTCAAGTCAAGGGTAATGTGGCAGTTGCAGTGTTTTTCCTCGCTTCCTCAATTCCTGGTGGCAAATATGTGAAGGTCCCTTTGACAAAAAAAAAAAAAAATATATATATATATATATATATGTGAAGGTCCCTTGACTTCGAGGTGCAGATCTCTGATCATGACAGCCCCCCTGCGTCGCACATCCCATGAATGATCAACGCAAGAAATTACTCTTTTAAAATTTGACTTAAACTGTGCCGTTCGATTGGTTGCTGTGACGATTAACAATCTGACCAATCTGTAATTATAGCAAATGTTCTTCAGGGGACGGAATACCGTACCATTATCGTTAGAATTACAGAATTAACTCTCCACAAAAATCCCATTCCCATCTCTCTCTCTCTCTCTCTCTCTCTGCCGTGTGTATACGTAGTACACAGTACACACTATACTGGTGTGTGTGTGTGCGCGCGTTGGAGAAAATCTTGTGAGCAAACTGCTACAAGGCAAGACTAGAACCATTTGCACGATCCTGCTTAATTTGGAAATTTAAACCCACCAAAACCTCTTCATTTCTTCACTTCTAGCCTCCCAGTTCCTGCAAACCTGGTATGATCACCGGCTGATGCTTTAATTAATTTCTTTCTTTCTTTTCTTTCTTTTTTTTTTCATAGGTGTCGTTGGAGTTGGGATTTATGAATAGGGATATTCTTGCTTGAGCTTTGTTTTCCTTTTTTTTTTTCTTTTTGGGTTTTTTCTGGGCTAGAATTGAATTAATGGATCTGTTGACCCTGCGGGTTTTTGGATCTTGATTGTTGAATGTTTTCTTGAAAAGGGCTAGTTTGGTTGGTTCTAATATACAAGTTTGAAGTGAGAAAAAAAATTGAAAGGGACTTTTTGAGAGGGAGCTGTTAACGTTGAACTATTAGTCTGTTTGCTATTTCTAAGCCCAGTTCGTTGGTGGAAATGGATATTAACTGTGAAGGAACAGAAGCCTTGGAAAAGGTTTCATTTCGGGCATTCTGTTTCTGAAAAGTACGTTTCAACCTTGATTTTTTGTTCCATCTATAGTATAAAGGCAAAAGCTTAAGACATTTTTAAATAAGTATTTGCCTTTTTAATGTAGGTTCCTATACCATTATTTTTATCGGAATTCAGGAATTCATTGCTTTGGCACTGCTTTTATCAGAATTTCTCAGTTCATTTCTTTGAGATTTCCTTGGGGGGTAGCTCTGGTGTATGATGAGGTAAAATATTAAATTTTGTGCTTAGGATATAGTATATGTGTGCGTGTATGATGATCATATTCTTGTGGTAGGAGGAGGTTGAAAGAGTTAGCAGCTTAATACGCTTGGATCACAATAATAATTCTTTATTTGTGGTCTGTTGGTTCCTCACCTGGGCTACCATCCATTCACTGTTACTCTTATTTTCTTGCAATTACTCATATAATATTTCAGGGCTAAAATAAAAGTTGCAGTCTTCTGCATTGGAGAATGGCTGGTGTAAACATTGTTGAATTGTTTCGGACTGAGGGCTTTCTCCTATACTAAGTAGATCTAGTTTTAACAGTTGATATATACTTCAATTTGTAGAAGTGCATAACTTAAAATATTTTGGGCCAAAAGTGATCATGTTAAAAACTTTACACTTCATATTAGTCAATGTGGAGGTGAGCTCGTGTGTTACTTTCAAGTGTCACTGTATGTCTCTGACATTCAAGTGTCACTGTAAGTCTGTGACATTCTATGTGTTGAGGTGAGCTTATATGCACGTTTTCGAAGCACTAGGATGACCTATGACTGAGATTTTTTTTTTTACTGTTTCTATATGCGAATTAGCTGTTGCTGAGCGTATTAATTCTGTCTGCCTCAGTTTCACAGTCAGCATTCAAAGTTGATATGAATTGCTGAAATGATAAATTCACTAAATATAATTGCTGTTGTTCAATGTGGATTGACTCCTCTAGCTCTAGCAATGTTTCGTCGGTGGAACAATTCACATCACGAGAAGGATTCTGATGAGCAGCAGGAAAAGGTATTGAGAAGTGTTAAAATGCATAATTCATTTAACTTCTTAAATAAACTAATTCATAATTTGGCTGCTTATCTGTAGGAAGATTTTTTTTTGCTTTTTAATACTGTTATTTGTGGGTTTCAATGTTTATTTTGCTGCAGCTATTCTCATCTTTTTTGGCGCACGCATGATTTTTGGTCGTTTCACTGGTCATGCGTTTGTGAATAAGCCAATGAGAAACTATTTGTTAGTAGGTCTAATGTCCAGAATTTTAGTTGGAATCATCTCTAGTAGCCATTTCAATTAAGTCTGCAAAGATATGGTCCTGGTCTGAATAGGTTTTAGTCCTTTTGCTTGGAATTTATGGTCTATTGACTCTAAAGTTTTAGTACAAAATGGGCTATATCACCTATTACCTAGACATTTATCATTACATTACTGGGCTGGCTCCCAGTAAATACAATCTTTTGTCAGATAAAAGTAATTTGTAACTTTACGTGCAACTACATAAATTGACTTACTTTTCTCATTTGACATTTAAATATTGACTTTGAACCCAAGTTTGGAGGTAAAAAGTGTTGTTGGTTTCATTGACGACTGCGGTCATTCCTCTTATGAATACTACTAATTTTGTGGTATGCTTGCAGGTTACTGAACTTAAGGCTGCTTTGGGTCCTTTATCGGGACGTGGTTTACAGTATTGCAGTGATGCGTGCTTGAAGAGATACTTGGAAGCCAGAAGCTGGAATGTAGATAAAGCAAAAAAGATGTTGGAGGAGACATTAAGATGGAGGTCAACCTACAAGCCAGAAGAAATTCGCTGGGTAAGAATTTAGCTTTTTGTTCATCTTTTTCATCCTTTATTCCTAATAGTTCTTTTGTTGTGACAATTCATAAGCAAACCTGCTCAATGCATGTCTTAGAGGAATCAATGATGAAATACATATTAGAATCAGACAGAATTTGTTTTATCAAAATTTTGAAATGAAATATTTATTTTTTTCCTCAAATATGTTTCCCAGATTTCTATGCTTTCTCATATCTCGTTCTCTCCAATATGCTGAAAATTGTGCATAATATAACTTTTCTATAACCATCAAACTTGTTAGCATGAGGTTGCTGTTGAGGGTGAGACTGGAAAGGTATTTAGAGCTAATTTTCATGACCGCCATGGAAGGACCGTTCTTATTCTGAGACCTGGAAAGCAGGTGAAGTCCTTGGACTACCAAATTCTAGCGTAGATTCCTTCAAATGATTTATTTTGAGTATCGGTTTGGTTTCTTTCTTCTGCGTAACGTGATCATCAAGGGATGCTGTTAAATGTTGCAGAACACAACATCTATCGACAACCAGATTAGACATCTGGTGTATCTCATCGAAAATGCCATCCTTAATCTGCCTGAAGGTCAAGAACAGATGGCTTGGTTAATAGACTTCACTGGTTGGTCTATAACCAATAATGTGCCAATCAAATCTGCCAAAGACACAGTAAACGTACTGCAAAACCATTACCCTGAGAGACTAGCTGTTGCATTCCTCTACAGTCCTCCACGTATTTTTGAAGCATTTTGGAAGGTCTGTAATGAGCTGAGTGGAGATCATGAGTACCACTGTTAATTTCTTTTGCAGATGTACATCACAATTGTAGTTTATTTTCGTCTCTGGGTATTTAGGGTCTTGAGCTATTGAATCTGTCTAATTTTCTTATTCTGGTTATTGCCAGCAACTAAAACCTTACACATTCAGATGCTAAAGTACCACAACTATCAAATAAAAGTTGAAAAATAGACATAATACAATCTTCTTTATAAAGGAGCTGAGTAGGGTGGTGGGTTCTAATATTGTGGAACATCCTATAGGGGTTTCGGAACATATAACCATGTTTGGTAAAAGATTTTGAACAACTTGCTATTTGCCTGATACGTGCTTCTGTGCTTGCAGATTGTCAAGTTTTTTTTGGATCCCAAGACTTTTCAGAAGGTGAAATTTGTGTACCCAAAAAATAAGGATAGTGTGGAGCTCATGAGGTCATATTTCGATGTGGATAATCTTCCGACAGAGTTTGGAGGAAAAGCCACGTTGCAGTATGATCATGAAGAGTTCTCAAGGCAAATGGCTCAGGATGATGTCAAAGCTGCAAAAGTATGGGGTTTTGACAAACATCCAAATGGTTTTACCGGAGCTGAGGTTGCACCTGAGCCGGAGACCCTTGCTTCGCCTGCCAGCTGAATTTCCATCTTTAATCTAGGAACGGGTGTATAATATATATTAACGATTAATGGGCTCTCCTGCTTGACGGTAGGCTGCCACACCAAGGGACCTAATAATTGTTTTAACTTGACAAAGAAAGCCAATTTCAAGGCTATTAACTTACCTATTGCTTTCCAATGCTGAAGTATTTGTTGTCCCAACGGGAGATGTTTGCTATAAAGAATTTGGATGATCTTGGTAATGTAGGGGCACAACTGTCATTGCGTTTTCCAACTTGCAAAGGTGGCCAAGCGTGCCTTGTCTCTTAGTAACTTCGGTTCTTGCATTTCACCTCTGATACAATTCTTCTGGATGTGACCGTCAGTCTGAACCCATTCCGGGGGTATGGTCCATGGAAATTTTACTCGAGAGTGCTGCTGCTGGATAAAAACGATAGCTAACTGAAGTAGTTTAGGGAAATCGATGACTTCGTTTATACTGGACAAATGGCAACGAGCCTGTAAACAGCAACACTAGACAATGGAGGTGAATTTCATTAAAAGCACGGTAAGTTGCTGTCGATTATCCAGTAACTGCATGTACATTTTGAATAATTACAAAAAACTACTTCAAAGAGTTTGAGCCCATGCGTGCTTCAAAGGTAACCAACTTGGCTCTTATCAGAACTCAGAAACCATCATCAGAAAACGCCTGCAACTTATTGCAATCCAAGATTTGGCAAAGCTATTTACAAAAATAATACAATCTTTGGAGTGCCAGTACTAAAGCTTACAGGGCATGCTATCTCTTGACACTCTTTATCAATACAAAAACACGTTCAAAGATGAAAACCCAAAAAAAAACTTGAAAAGGGAGTTTGAATATGGAAAAATACAATGTTAACCCCAACCCTTTCAACAAAAAGAGAGAAATTCACAGCTAGAATAGGCACCGAAGAGTCGAAGACTCGCATACCAAGCGTATGTTAGCCTTTGGATTAGTTTTAAACAAATGGCGACGCAAAAAGAACTACATAAGCCGCCTTCTGAAGCTTCCGGTGGTGGCTTGGTACGTGCGAACGAGCAAACCCACTCCTATTCCGACTCCAAGACAAATACCGAGTCCAATGCCAACTCCGACCCTCACACCGCATTGAACCAGGATATTTCTCCATCTTCACCTTCTATATATTCCATTCGTCTCCAGTACATATTGTTTAACTCTTCCTCACTTTCTGGTTTATAGCTTCTGTCCTCCGTTACCTGCAACAAAGTCACCAAAAGAAAGTCTTTACAGCATGCAAAGGCTGCCATTACATTGTTTAAACTCAAATGCGAAACAGTTAGTTTGTCTGACTTGCCATTCCAACTTAGATGCGGCAAATAACACTGCAAGTATTACAATCCCGGACAGACATTAGGATCACAGAAAATGCAGATTAAGTGGTCATGGCTTTTTATATACCTGATGGGAAAACATATTTATAATTTTTTTAAAAATAAATTAAGGCCAATACAAGACAATGAAAAGTAAAAGGCACAAGGCAGTTCAGATGATACCAGTTTATTAAAACCATAGTTCTAACTTGGAAGTTTATAACTCAACATAACTGCAAACAAGAAGATTTTAAGATCTAACAAGGAAAACTGAAAAAGAAACAAACACTGTCAACAATCATAGATCAGTTACTGTCTCAGTTCTGAGCTACATCCTCATGCTACTAGTTTCTCTTGTAATCACCATCAAATCAGTTAGCAACTCAAATTCAGGTACTTGGAGAGGTTAATCGACCAGGAATTTGGATGAGTTCCTACTTTGACCAATTCATGATAGGTCAACTAGTCCGAAAATATTCACAAAATAGATCAACACAGAGTACATATTCAGTAATCAAAATTTTTTCATGCCATCATCACATGGAAGGCTCCTTCACATTACTACACGAGAATCCACAGGATCCAATTGAAAAATATAATAACTATCCAAGTGAGAACAATTGTGTTACATATACGAACAATTTTGATCATATTTTTTACAAAGTACAAGTGATAGTATGCCAAGAAGTCAAGACAGAACTTATTTATTTATTTATTTTTGGGCTACTCATGGGAAAAATGTGCAGTTTTATTTGACACACTCGGGATGCTTCAAATCTTTATAGACACAACAAATGTCATAACATTTTAACAAATTTATCATCTCTGTTGCAGAAATTGAAGTTTGTAATATAGAACTTAAAAGCAGCTCCAGTCCTCCGTAATCCGGGGCAACTGAGGTTCAGACATATTCAACAAAGTTGATTTTCTTAGATACACAGATGGGGAAAACAAGAAGTTGATTTTCAATCAGCAACTACTGACAAAATGGTGGCGGGGCCCAAAATTGAAATCACCAATCTACTTGATAGCTACTTAATGGGACCTTTGGGGGATGAGGTCCTGCATGTCAGACTCTTGCAGAGTATGGATAACATAAAATAAAAATAAAAATAAAAATTAGACTGAGCACCACTTTAAGAACTGTGCCCGACCATACCCCCATGACATGTCTAGGATAAGATTCTGTTTCACAATCCAATATCCAATTCCTAATAGAAATAGGCAAATGAAACACAGAAACATGTTTCATAGGAGGAAGCATGGAGAAATTCCAAATAAAGGATAAGGTGACCACTGAAAGGTTCTTATGGTTATGATATATTTTATTGCATCATTAGCTCCAGATGACTCTTGAATATTTGAATATATTTTATGAAACAGCAAAACTCAGTAGAGGTTTCCTAGTCATTTGACATACATTAACTCATTTTGTTTTTGACATTTAAAAAAAAAAGAGAGCGGTAAATTTGAAATAATATACTAAAAGAAGAAAAACAAAAAGAATGAGAGAAGACAGCAGGTAAGACGCTGAAAATCCAACATAAATTTATAATCTTTTCATTAAGGACCCATGTTTTGACTTCCTGTATTTCTTTAGCATGCATTTCAAGTTGAGGTCGAATGCAGGGTTAAATGATACAGGGATACTTTCTAGTCAAAGCAAATGGTTCTTAAAAACATGAAAATTAGGAATTCAGAAACAAAATATGCATAAGTATTGAGCACCAAAACCAACATAGAAATAAAAGTTAGGCGGTGCCCACATTGGAGAATTTGGTTGCACAATCTTGAACCATCCAGACACAATATTCTGGTCCAGCACTAAACCAAAACTACAGTACAAACATGAAAAAGAATGGATATCTAAATAAATCTAGACGGAAAGAATAAAACCTGCAAATCAGCTCTAGATCCATCATCCTTGTTGGTTGCTGCAGTATCATATTCCGGAATTGAATCCAGCACCACTTTTCTGTTTGGCTTCTTGCGGTGATTAAACTGCAAAGTCTTGGTTAAGATGACTGGTGCACCAAGAAGCAACCAGCAACATAGACTTCAATGGTGGGTGACGAGGACTCGGAACTAATTATATGCTTGCCCTTCAGGAATCCTGCACACAGCACTCATCGCTGTTTCACAATTCATGCTCCATTTCCTAGGATTGCCATTATACTTCGAGGTGAAACCATTACTACATGACATCTCCAGAACCCCAGAGAGCACAAGATCTTCCTTATGGAAAACCTCAAATTTCACACTCCCTGATAACCTTATACTGTCAGTACTCACAAAACGTAGCTTCTTCAGATTTTTTATCTAGCCTATCCCTTCGAAGAATGCATGATGACCCTTCTGAATAAATAGAACACCTTGCACCATTCACTTCAAGAAGAGTATCAGGGCTGAGAGGGATATGGTTGAGGGTCAGACATTCTGGGGTTGAATCATCCACCATAAAACTGCTGATTCTGACATAGAACACTCTTATATCAAGCCAAACCAATTTGCTGTGAGATTGGTAAGCAGGATGCCGTATAATCTGCATTGCAGGATCGGCTGGTTTACCATTGTTCAACGATTCATGAGAGCTGTCCATATTGTTCCAGGAGGGTGTTCAATCCTCACCAAAATCTTTGAAAGCTGGCTGACGTAAAATCATGGATAGATTCCAATCCGACGAATGTAAACAACATAGGCCGGAACATCCTGTTCCAAAATAACAAAATATTTGCTATTCAAAAAAGTAATTCACCAATTGCTTCCAAAGAATTCTATTACATAATAAGAGTCACTGCAGGCACTGGTCCTGCATCCAAAATCTTTTCTTATTTCTCGTGACTAGAAGCAAATAATCGAGAGAACCAAAACTCCATATGCGTCTAAGAAAGAAACTAAGAATTGTCAAAGCAGTTTGTAACCTGGTTTTAGGAACAGAATCCTCGAAATCAGGAATAGAGAAGACGTAATAATAACTAAATGACGTACCCGTAACTGCACAATCTAAAAAACAGGGTGCTAAAAACCAAATGCCTCTTTTTTTTTTCTTTTTTTCTTTTTCCAGTCAAGAGTATTCGATCAAGATATATCAACCTCCCTTCAGGCTTAACCAAAGAACAAAGTATCAAACTCAAAGACCAGACCAAGAACCAATCGGGAAAAATCAAAATTGTGGAAGCTAAAAAGAGAATATTTAGAGACAGCCATTTTAGGAACTCAAACAGACAGAAAAATCAGTGCATGATCTTTGCGACGCGAACCCACCATGACTTGCACGGTGATTTCAACGACAAATAAAGCAGAAACCTTTGATTTCAATCCACAAATTCTTAAGGGCCAAAGCCATCAGAAACTAAATCGAAAGCTCTCTGGCCTTTCTTTCCAGATAGACGAGGGATATATATTGAGCATGAGAGTAAGAAGGCCAAGACAATATCCCAAAAAGGCTAACAGATCTGCCAGCAATTGACTACTTTCCACAATACAAGCATCTCAAAACCAGCCAACAACACACTCACCACCCCAAATTAGAAAATAATAATAGGAGAATAACGAACCCACAGAAAGAATAGATGAAACAATATGCATAAATATGAGAAACTTACCAAGAAAATATTGGTGCATCCAACCCCCTCCCGTTTCCTCTTATATATATCGTTATTTCCCTGTCTCAAAAATGCGGTATCCAAAATTCCGGCTATCTGTGGCGTATGGAATCGCTTTCAGGGCTCCAAGGCACCAGCTTTTGATGTCCTCGCCCACCCTACTTGTGGCCTTAATTTCGTACACTGACAACAAATCTAAATCTTTAGACGGCTTTCTAGCAAATCTAAACAAATTGGACTCGATGACTTATCCACTTCTCCCTTCCCGTCCAAAGTCTATG